CCTAAAGACCTGATGCAGGATCATTGGGATAACTACTGTTCTAGACCTAAAACCGATTTTGGACGTGCAAGGATTATACAACAAGCTTGGAGAAATTTCAAGAAGAGACCTGAATCATTGACATCCAAAGTTTGGAATGCTGTAAAAGCGGATATTATTCCCGATGAAAAGAAATTCTTAGGTGTAACTCCTTGTAAATTGAAAAATCCTGTATCTCTGGATCAATTTAAATTACGTTACTCTAAGGAATTTTCTGAGTTTATAAAAGAATATAACAGATATCCACCTGATATTGAATTTAGAATTAGAACATACGAGGAATATTATATTCCATATGATTGGATAGGTTCCAAGAAAAACCAATTACACGATAGATTGCAAAACTATGTTATAGAATTATTACGTCAACGAGGCTATAGAGTAGTTCATGGAAATTCTTGGTATGTTATGGTAAAATGGATCGAGAATCCAGATTGTTATGCTAACAAGACATATCCGAATATTGTTAGAATATAATATGTTACTACAATTTTATTTATCGCCATTTCTGGGATAATGGTATCTTTTTTTTGTTAAATGCCTCAGTTTACCAAGGTTTGATGGTATATTTTTTCATACAAACTAATTACATACGACAGAGTGGTGAGTAAGACATAACTATATACTATATTCTATATAAAAAAAATGGCGGAAAAAAAAATTTATTATTTGATTAAACTTAGACATCTTTTTTATATGAAATCGAAGAAAAAAAGTTACAATTGCAGAGGATAAAGATAAGTTATTCAAGCTTAGCGGAGTTAGTTTCACTAAAAAATCTCGATCATAATTTATTTTCTTTATTACGCAATTAATGATTTGATCTCTTTTTCCAGATATAGAGGATTCATCCAACCGACTCTGATGGACATAGGATTGGAAATTGGTACATTAGTATCGAAGACAATAAATTCACCATTCCGCAAATAATTATTAATGACTCTGGAGGCTTTACGTGGATCTTCCTCTATGTATTGACGAATGACTCGTTGAATGTCATCTTTTGAACCCCCACCATTAAACAACGCAAGATGAGTTGCATTTTCACGAATAATTTTTGGTACTTGAGTGAATTTATGCGAAATATATATTGCGGAAATATTACTATGACGCCCTCTATTAAAAAATGGAATAATACGATCCTGGATTGACTGTGGTTCGGTGCATAAATCCTCGAATATAATCACTGTGCGTCTTTTTGGATTTTTGAATGCTTTTAGATCTGGGATTTTATCAGGGGTAAGTGCAGTAAATGTAACATCTTCATAGTATGATTTTGAACGATCTGCTATTTTCTTATAGAAGTTCCTAACTAATCTATATTTAGGCTCGTTAATGAAATGCCCTACAAGCACAAGATCATTGCAACGTATGTGTCGTTCGCCAATTTGTTTTTTTCCTTCTTTTAGATCATAATACTTATCCCCGAGAAAAAGGTTTAAAATCATATTGGTTTTCCCGGTGTTGGATCTCCCACTCACTACAATATAGAAAGGATATTTTGGACTATCAATGTCATCTAATGATTTTTTTGACGGCTTGATTTCGTCGACGTGGTATATATAATGATATTTCATTCTGATACTAGTTTAACTATATCTTTGAAATTTTTTATTCTTAGCAAAGTGATCGGCGTTATAAATCACAACGCGCACGTGATATTTTTTCTTAATACTAATACTAATATATACATAAGTATTAACATGTCGAATCTTACTGAAGCTCAAATTTACGCAGAAAAACGTGGAGGAAAATGTCACATCCAAACTGGACCCACAACTTTCTTATTCTCGTGCAATAGAAATCACTTATGGGAGAGATCAATCGAAGCTATTACAAAGAGATATGATTGGTGCCCTCTATGCCCATGTTCAAGAGGAGAACGTACATCAAGATATATATTCGAAGATTTGTTAGGTAAAGAATTTCCACCATCCCGACCTAAGTTCTTAGAAGGATTACATCTTGACGGTTATAATAAGGAATTGCAACTGGTGTTCGAATTTAATGGCCAACATCATTACTGTCTCATTCCAAAACATTTTCATCCCAATGGCCAGATCGATCTGGATAATCAAATCAAACGGGATCAAAAAAAGCGGAATCTCTGTAAGGAGCAAGGTATATGCCTTATCGAAATTCCATATGACGTTGATCTTTATAACTTTATCCAAGAATCTCTAATCAATAATGGTTATCTCCAAGACCATTCCAATTGATAATGGTTTCTTCTGAATTAGTCTTGATTGATAATAATATTTCTGGATAAATTCGTCTGGCGGATATTCAAGATTTTCCATATCTACGATTTGCAATTCTTCCATTTTGAATGGTCTACGAGGATTACGTCCCATTAAATGTCTTGTAGATTCAACCGCTTCCTTCTCTAAATAATATAAGACTGGCTGTGGTGGATTTTTTCCAACAACGACTTTTCTGATTTTATAAATACACAATGAGAAGTATGGATCAGTTGCTCGATGTCTATGGCCACCTTCCAATTCTCCAGGTTTTAATAAGTATCGAACAGTAGTGCCTTTTGGTATTTGTTCTTCGTTTTCTCCAACTGGCCTCTTGGGTTTTTATAGAAGGTTTAGATATTACTTTTTCCAATGTCATAGCATGGGAAGGAGTCATTCCGATTAATCGTGTTGGAGTATGATTCATATTGTCAAAAATTACTTCGAGAATCCTATTCCATAATGTTGAGCGTTCTCCTGCTGGTAATTTAGATTCTATTGCATATTGAATCTTGTATATTATTTCTGCTAATCTTCGTTTCAATGCTTTGACCAATGCTAGACTTTTGAAACTATAAAGGTTGACAACCCAGATAGAGACATTATACCATTCCATTCCCCGCGAAAAATTTCCAGAGAATTCCCTACCACCATCCAGCATCAATAATTTTGGCCATGTAAGGGGGGACGTAGGATCTTCATATATTTCTTTTATAGCATTCCAAACTTCTAGGCTATTCTTCAATGTTAGAGAACGTCCATTTTTATTGCAAGTTGCGACGTCTATGACTACCAAAGTGTAAAGGTATATTTTTTCACCATCCTGATCATCATAACCATGGGCTAATAGGTCACACTGATGAACTTTATTAGGAATGGATACCTTCTGGAATCCTGCTCCTGCTTTGCATTTTTGTGGAAAGAGATGTATTTGATGAACATACTGGTTCTTTAACCATTTTTCAATATCTCGTAGGCGGAAATGATTGTATCCTTCTTGTTGACAGGTTTGTAATAATTTTTTGGCATTCGTATAAAATCCAGGTACATGATAATAGATTAGAGGAAGAACGATTTTTAATTCCTCATCGGCTCTGATTATAATAGTAGGTACATTCATTGCTATGACCACAAAATATTATTAATACTATGTGATAAATCACTAGCTTCACTATAAACTAAGGCTGAATTTTTTGACATGGATTTTGATCCAGCTTATTTAGCATTGCTGAAAAGTAATCACGAGTTGAGGAAGGAACTTAATATTGAAGTAGATATCAATTACCAGAACGAGAAAAAAATCCGAAATCTCATAAAAGAGCTAGAGCATTGTGACCGAACTATCTCCTTTCAGGATAACACAATCATAGCTCACGAAAAGGAAATACAGGAACTCAAATCCCAAGTTTCCGATCTTGAAAAGCGTCTTAGAATAGCTCTAAAGGATGTTGATAAAAAAGAGGGATTTCTACTCAATCGCGAGCAACAGTTGACTATACTCGAAGAGGAAGTGATCAAGTTAAAAAATAGAATCCGAAAAATTACATCTCGGAAGTATAATAAACCTGTAATGGCTCA